AAGGAAAAGGACAAAAGAAAAAAAAATGTCTTGAAATAAATAAAATTAGGATGCATTCTGCCATACCTTAAAAAAAAAAAAAAAAAAAAAAAAGTACAGTTTATGCCCAGGAAAGTAAACATGGAACCATACGAAAGGGAAGATCTGAGAGAAAGGACACCGGACGAGCTAATAAATACATACACAAAGGACTAAACTGGGACAGAATGAAAGTTAACTTGACCAACCAATCGTAGTAATGGTTGCCAGATTTCAGCAAATTTGTCAGAGGAACCCCGTAGRGACATCCTAATTTTCTCAAGTTTAAGAAAATAAACAATATCCCTCAACCAATGTATAAAAGTAGGAGGTTGTGGTGATTTCCATTTAAGAAGAATTATCCTCCTTGCAATAATGGTCATAAAGGATAAAGAYTTTTCTTGGGAATAGGACAAAGGAGATGGCCCCGAAAACACCCCAAACAAAACACTCTGGGGGTTGGGATCAATTTTTCTGCCAACCACGTCTGATATAACAWRAAATATCTCTGTCCAAAAACTCTTGAGCTGGGGGCACAACCAAAACATGTGTATAAGGTTTGCAGGAGACTGTTGGCACCTATCACAYACTGGGGAAACAGTGCTATAAAATTTTGACAGACGAGCCCTGGTATAGTAAACGCGGTGTACAAGTTTGCATTGAAGAAGACAGTGCCTAGCACATATAGAAGATTTATGTACCCGTATTAGGATACGTGACCAGAGCTCGTCAGGGATAGCCTCTCCCATATCCTCCTCCCAGAGGGCCTTGATTGAGCCTAAAGACTTAGAGTGGATCGAGGCTATGCGGGTATAAAGAATTGAAATAGATCCTTTCAGCCTAGGAATGGGCACAAATAAAGAGTCAAGGTCAGAGTCTGAAGGCAGCTTAGGAAAAGTGGGGAAATTACTATGAACAAAGCTGCGCACCTGTAAAAATCTGAAAAAATCTCGAGATGGAAGCATAAATTTGGCAGAGAGTTGTTGAAAAGTAGCAAAGACACCATCAATAAATAAATCCCCAAAGGTCCGAAGGCCAAGGTTTGACCAAATCACAAAAGTTTTGTCTATGAGWGAGGGAGAAAAGACATGATTGTTCGCGATAGGAGCATATGGAGAAAGGAGTTGTAGACCAAAATAACGCCGAAATTGAGTCCAAATCTTAAGAGAGGTTTTAACTACGCTATTCTTTGTGTAAGCAACAGTCGAAGATTTAATTGGTGAATACAATAGAGCTGCGAGAGACACGGGTTTTGCCGAATTCGTCTCCATTACAAGCCAGTCCGGAGAAGAAGAGCCACACCGAAGCCAAGCTGTTAAAACCCTAATATTGGAAGCCCAGTAGTAGTACCTGAAGTTCGGTAAGGCCATCAGCCATTTGTCACTTTGAACCACTGCGCTCCATGTCCAGTAGGTGGCGCTGAGCAGTATCCGCGAAAACGTCCATGGATTAAGAATTTATGACATGAATCACGTCGAATGCCATCTTCCTCTCCTCTATTTGCTCTAATCTCTCTATTGTCACAGTCAAATCAAATCTAAGTAGAATATATGAACACAAACCAGAATGCTTCACAATAACATGCGAATGTGTTTTATACTGATTGACTGGGGATAAATCAGAGTGAGTGCTTACACGGCCTGAGGCTCTTTAAACTTGCCCATACGTTGGATGTGATACATGAGGTCTCCACCATTAATGTACTCCATCACGAAGTACAGCCGATCCTTTAAAAGAAGGAGGTTATTGTTCAAAGTGGCTCAGAAGATGCATCGTTTGTACAGAGAGTTAAAAACATTATTACAGTAGATTTATTGTAAATTCCAGGGTCTAGACTGATGTTTTCTGAGAAGCAGCCCAGCAGCTTTTCTCAGTAAAGCTTTTATTTAAGACACATTGACGCAGGGAGCTGACGTCACATCAGAGACTTCATATTCAACTCTGGTCTCGAGTCACTTTTCAATTTTCTCTGCAGGAGGGCCGGTGACTGAGTGCAAAACATGTAAAAAAAACATCACCTCACAGGAACTGAGCAGAAATAAAATGGAAGATTATTAAGGGAGAACTGACTTTCTCAGGTAAAGATTTATCTACTGATTTATTTTGTCAAGGCGGAGGAAAAGCTTTATTAACTGTGACGACAGCAGGAGCTGAAGTTTGGTTGTTGTTTATACCCACCACCGTCTGAAAGCAGGAGTGCAGCTGCGTGAGGAAAGGCGGTTTGTCCCTCAGGGCCAACACCCTCTTCTCCACCATCGTGCACTCCACGTCGTCGTCCTGAATCACCACGTCCTTCTTCAGGATCTTTATGGCGTAGAGCTCCTCCGTGGATTTCATCTCGGCCAGCATCACCTGCGTCGGACAGCGCGTGTCAAAGGTTACGATGAACGGAACGACTGGACTGAACGTTTCCAGCGCTCACTTTGCCAAAGCTGCCCTTCCCCAGCAGGGCGAGGAAGTTGAAGTCGTTGAGTCGCACTCGGTCCATGTTACCCGAAGGGAAGCTGAAGCGCCGGTGGTCTGATGGCGTGATCACTTTCTTACCGTGGCCCAGCTTGGCTTTCTGCCATGTAGAGAACAAAAACATGGAGAAAAAGACATTTAATGTCTATTTGTTGCATCTCACCTGCTGTGAGAGTCATAAATAAAGCCCTAAAATAATGATGTTACTGTTGTTTGTCCTGAGCTGACATTTTCAATCAAACCTGTCTGCTGGTTCCTGAGATATTTTGCTGACAGTACAGCCAAACAAGCCCACACAGACGCATAGGCATGATTTGCAGGGGGTTATGACCCCCCCAATAAAATAACATCATTTGCTCAAACACAATAGAAATTAACTGGTTCAGTAGATCGATGCAACTCTCTTGTTGTCTTTAGGTAACTTTAACCTGATTTAAAAAAATATATCATACACGTTTAAGCATAATTGCTAAAAAATGCACACAGGGTTTTAGAGCAGAACCCTCCCAATGATAGACCAAAAGTTATGRCCTTGTACAGACAGGGATAAAATGTCACTGCCTTCAAAGTAGTGGCTTCTAAAGTAGATTGGGGGATTTTCTTGTTGTGTGGGCGGAGTTTGTCCTAACCGTGATTGGGGAAGTTTTTTTGGTTGTGTGGGCGGAGTTTATTGTAACCATGTTTAGTTGCATTGACGTGTCTTGTGGGGGAAGTTAAAAAATAAAAAAGTAAAATCACTGTAAACATGTAATAATTTTTTGACTGTCTATTTGTAGTTTACAGCGTCTCAAATAAAAATGATTGTGAACATAATTTATTAACTTCAGATTTGGTATGATTTGTACCTTCTTGTTTTGACTTATGACTAAATTTAATATTCGTATAATAAAATCAATCCTTTCCCAGGTGGGTTAGGGCTGCTTTGACAGAGCCAAATTGCTACACGTCACTCTATGTGAACAGCATTCAGACTTTGTGTGGTTGGCACCTTTCTGTCTGGAGTTATGACTAAAAATAATATTTATATTTAAAAATATAGGTGCTTTCTGGCCATTTTGACCAAGCTACACGTCTCCCCTGCTGCCTGGCGTCCTGCAAACCAATCACGTCTTTAACTATGCTCACAAAAAACATGTCTTGGACAAACTCCACCAACACAACAGGAAACTCCCACTTAGTGACTGCAGAGACCCCCTTCTCTTGCTTTCAGTGGCGGGCGTCAAATATGAAAACACAGCAGCTCATCCTAAAACTATTAAAACTATTGTGGCAGCTTCATAATTCTGGTCAAAGTGCCAGCTGGTTGTTCGGCAGGGGATCTCTGCATTTTAAGGTTCCCCGTTGTTGTAAAGATCTGCTTGCCAAGCATCTTTTTTTTAAAATGGACAATTAATGTCCCCACCAGCTCCCATTCTGGCTCCAGCAGCTGTCTGGAGTCAGATAGCAGCGAGGAAACCTGCAAGCCACGGGACAATGAGAGCTGTTGCCAGGGTGACTACTTCTCTCCTCTTGACTGAATGTAAAAATATACTCCCCGTAATAACGGCCACATGTTCGTTTGATGCGGGTTAAGTGGGTCTGTGCGTACACAGCTGGTTCAGGTCAGTTCACACAAACCAGCAGAACGCTGCGGAGGCTCGACCTGCAGGATGGTTGGTTTTGTTCAACACAACAAATACATCTGAAGAGTGAAAAGGTTCATACAAAAGCCGAACAAAAGAGCAAACCGAGGTAATAATTGGTGTAGACAATTAAAATTTAATCATTTTTGATGTTCTGTGAAAACCTGAAAACAAACGTTCTGTATGTTTGCATAAAGCACTGAAATCTCACACAACTTGTTCACACTTTCAGTGGGAATCCCTCTCAGCTACATTTACACTAAATGTGAGCTAAAAAGCAGTAAAAACAACTGAAGTACAGCCATTTTTCTTTTTCCTCAGGTTGGTAAGCTGTGACGGCCATCTTGAATTGGGTCATTTCCAAGAGTTAATCAGTTGAAGACGTGAATCCTGTCTTTACCTTCTGAGAGTTTCAACAAAATCTGTCAAGTGGTTTGTGAAATATTTTGCTAACAGACCGACAAACAAACACAAGGACAGACACAGATGATTGTATGAGCCTGTGGGTGGTCAAAAATTATTTGATCAAATTAGAAAAGATGATGATTTGTCTGCAGCACCCATCAGTTTAGAAATAAACTCATAAAATATTAACGTGACAAACAGACAAGGAGAACAACTTCACACAAACCAACAAGTACAGTTTCATTTTTAACAACCGTTTTGCCACACAAAGTCTTACATTTATCTTCAAATAAACGTAACACTGCCATCGTGTGGAAGGATCCAGCACACACACACACACTCACACACACGCACACACACAGCAGGCAAATCTGTGGGTGTTTCCGTTCACACTGCGTCTGAGTGAGCGTCCTTCATGCTTCGTGTCCTCGCAGCCTTTTATAGTCCAGATGAGACTAGTAGAAGGTGGACGGTGTTCACCCAGTGAGGAGGTGAAGCTCTGCTGACCTCTGAAGCACCAAGCCGAGGCCAGAGAGCTTCACATGTTTACTAACAACAACGCTGGCTGGTGTTCGTGTCAAATTTATAAAACACTAAGCATGCTGCGCTTTTAGATCAATGTTCAAAGCAGCGAGGCTGTTGGAAAAAATGTGACTAGAATGACTGTAATCCTGTTTGCAAAGTTTGTTTCTTTAATATTTATAATGCATCTGTTGCAGTTTGCTTTATATATATATATATATATTTTTAGAGATAATCTACTAAATGTGGTGTATCAAATTCATTTTCAAAGAGGGCCACATGAGCATTATGGTGGCCCTCAAAGGGCCAGTTATAATACACTTCAACCTTTCATGTTTAACTCTGACCAAACATGGGACGACACATTCCTTGTTTCATTGCTACGGCAGAGCAAAGCTAACAAACAGCAAGTGAACTCTATGTGGTATTTCCTGCATAGGAGCAGCATTTTAACACGCTTTTATATAAACACTGAAAAATATTATGGTTGACTAAATGTGAAATAAATAATACCGATTAAAAGTAAGAGTTTTAATCAATTGTGAGTTGTGGTGATTAGCTGCTGTCTTGAATTCTGAACTCCCCCCGTAGAGGTGTTCCAGTTTAAATTTGACGACTTGTAATCGGGAATTTCCCACTTCCCAGTACAACTGGGGCACAGCAAAAGTAGCTGGCAAAAATGCAATGAAATGGAGATTTTACACTTCAGCAGGCTACTGCTGAACCCTGTGCACCTCCACCTCGTGGTGGGAGGCTATCACTTTGTGGTTAGAATAATCAACATGCATTATGGGAGATGTAGTTGATGGTTAATGCGGGCTTTAAAGCAGCATACACTTATTTTAAAGCATCTTTGAATCTCTCACAGGCCACATGAAATGCTGTGGTGGGTCACATTTGGCCCATGGGCCTTGAATTTACCACATTATGAGGATTTATTCACAGTCTTTCAAATCTATCTGAGACAATCCTAAAGTGATTTTAGGAACATTTAACAGCATCAACTAGTTGAAATAAGATTAGCATGTGTGCAAAAAGTCAAAAAGGTACAAAACAAAGATCCAAACTGGAACGGCTCAACGGTACGAGGCCCTTGTTAGTAAATCTGATTAATTTGTGGAAATCGCAGCAGAGATCCACAAACAATCACAGTTGAGTGAGTGAGTAAAAAATGAAGCAGGCTGCACATGAGAGAACAAGAGAGGAAGCAGGCAGGAGAGCTACCTTCAAATAGTGGATATTTAACTGGCAGGCCTAGAAGAAAGAAGAATCTTATTAGGGATCAGCAGCTCTCTCCCCAAAAATGTGCAAAAACACACAGAGTTATTACTTTCATCACTCGTGACTATTTATCTGTGAACTCCACCAAGATCAAAGGCATGACTGAAGCGTGAAAAAAAAAGCATCCACATCTGTTGCATCCCATCCTAGTTTCCATGGCAACCACAAGTTGTGTGAAGACAACAGCGTCAGAGGAAAGCCAAGGTCAGTGATGTACAGTACGGAGAAAAGCTAGAAATAAAACTCACAACTGTGAGATGTCTTTTTAAACTCTGTCTTTTACACTCAAATTACAGTTCAAGTTTTATATGGCAGCCATGCTGCTCTGGAGTTATTAACATAAAAAAGCATTATTAACATTAATATAAAAGCTTTTACATGGCTTTTAAAATAAAATAAAAAAGCTACAGTCAACAAACAGGCCACTAAAGAGCAAAATTTGGTTGCCAAAAAAAAAAAAAAAAAAAAAAGGCTGCCAGAAGACAACACAAGACAACGTCTTAAAAACCAATGAGTGCATTTTCTGCCATAAAAACAATCAGTTATCTGAGAGTTTTATTTGCTGGAATGACTTGAAATGCTTTAAAAAATGTCCAAATGCTGAAGATCGCTTTGCAAAAATTAATTAGATTAAAAAAAAAGAAAAAAACTGCATCAAAATATGGTCCTAAAACTTTTAAAAAGGAAGAGAAAAACAAGTTCAAATGAAAGTTAAAATAAGAACACGAAACAAGCAGGGGAATGAAATATTTTGAATGGGGATCATTTAAAACTGGTTTCAGACACATTTTAAATAAAAAAGCTTTTTCATATGCATGCTGTGTTAAATAGATTCAATCTTCAATACTGTGGGCTAAAACATAGGAAATGAAGTAAATTCAAATGTTTGTGTCAAACTTAGAACTTAGAAGAAAATTAAAACATCATTTTCATAAAGTCTGATGGATATTTTCACATCCATGAACACGGCTTTCTTTAGAGGTTTGATTGCGACTTCTTCAATGTATCTGCTGCTCTGTGGGACTTTTGTCTGTATTTTGGATGCTGCAAACACAATGTAACAGAAAACAAGACTAGTGAATTTTAATTTCTTTTTCTTCTTTGAACACGGGAAAAAGCAGAGAGACGGTGAAGTTATTGTGAAAGCAACAAGAAGGAAGGACTTTTTTGTTCCAAGTCTGTGCGACACATAAAAATGTTCTCGACTCCCGAGTCTCACCTCAAACTTTTGCCGCAGCTCCAGGTTGACGTCATCCACCTCGGGGATGGGAACGTTGTAGTACTCGCCCTCCTCTTGGTTCAGCAACTTGTACCTGAGAAGGCAGATTAGTAATCCAGATGATCGCTTTGAGCAGCTCAACACATCCCGCGCCGCTTGCGTGACGGCCTGCGGTACACAACGAAAGACACGCAGCCACACGCTGAGCGACACAAAACACTGAAGCAGTTTGTACATTTGCTGCCAACATGTTTCCACGCAGGTACTTCCTGGAGTCCCCGCTCACAGCAGACATGGATCAACCTGACTAGGAGGAAGCGGCACTGACTCTTTGTCATTATTAGAGTGAGACAAAAAAGCCAGCCAACCTGGAGGAGGCCTCATGGTTTACAGCTGTTTTACACACAATACGCTGCTGTGTTCAATCAAACTTATTAGAGGTGTAACAGCAGGCGCACATGTTTTATTTCACTTATTTTAAACATAATAATCCTCCTGGAAACACAGAAAGAAAAACAAATCTTCTCAAAAGCTGTTATTGTCCATATTGTATCTTCTATTTGTAAATGGCTACACGTGCCTATATTTCAAATACACTTGTAGCTTCATGAGGATGTGAGTTTGACCCTTTAGGCGACTGACCATCCACAGTGATGAGCTTTGATGAGCTCGGACACGCCAAACGACATGGAGCCCATGAAGTCATTCCGGGTGGTTCTGTCCCAGTCCCACACCTCGATGGACAGACGTCTGTCCTTATCCGAAGCTTTCAGCTTACTGCGCAAAGACAGAATGAAATAAATAAAACACGCCACACGTCTTTTTAAACTCTGATCCTAAGAGTGGGCGGGACTTTCGCTCACAAGGTGAAGGACTCGTTCCAGCAGGGATTGAGAGAGGAACGGATGGTTCTGGTCTTCTGTTTGGTCTCGTTCTTTGGGTCTGGGATGAGCTTGAGTTTCACATACGGGTCTGATAAACCATTTGGATCCATAGGTATCAGGTTCCTGGCTTCTCCCACTGGGAGGGAAGAAAAAAAAGAAAAGAGAAAATATCAAAAACATGACTTCACATGACTCGGGTTAAAAAGTCATGCTCTTTCAGCATATTTGTTACCTCTCATATATAATGCTTCCTGGTTTGTCAGTTTCTTCTGTTAGTTTATGTCATACAGTTTTTTAGATGTTTCYGTTTTTATTCTTGTTCACCTAGCTACTGCTTGACCGATTTGGTTCCTTTAACAAACTCTTACCATAAATATAAGACTTACAAGTTGGGCCCAGTAGAAACATGTATTACATTAAACAGACATAATCWAAACAAACACCACATATGCTGATCACAGGAGCTGTGAGGCAAATCATACTGTCAAAATTCACTTAGGCTGAAGCGTGAAACAACACCAAACAGCTCCATAGTGCTGGTGGGTGTCAGGGCAGATGTACACGTAAATCAAGAAAAACAAAACCACTCATCTGAAAGTCCGTCTCACATATGCTGTCACAGAAAAAAATAAAAAAAAAAAGCGAATGAAGCAGATGACAGAATGATGCTCAGTTTGGATGGGAACAGTGAAAATGTTGCGTGGACCGTTGCTGCTGATTGTGAGCGGGAGTGGAGTCAGGGTTAGCAGATAATGGGAGGTGACATTTTCCCTGTGTGACAACTGACAAATGGAGAGAAAAAGGAGCGCCAACACGCAGCAACAGGAGTAAAAAACCACGAGTGGTGGTGTGGTGGCCACTTTCACCACGGTGACATTTACATCAACTCCCCCACTTAGCAACATCATGAACACAAAAACAAATATCAGCAATGACACGGTCTCACAAGGAAGACGTAAGTAAAAAAGTGTTCACATTAGAAAAAATTCCTTGCCTGTAAAGCAAGGCCATTCAACTGGCTGTGACTGCTGACCAGCATGCCTTTGAGACCCCCACTTCCCTTCACTTTTTACTTAATACAAAGCTTAAAAAAATTAATTTTGATGCAGTGCAACAGAATAAATACATTTAAAAGATACAAGATAATACTTGTACCTTTGCAGTGTTTCTCCTACTGTTTTCTCGGGGAATAACGCAAACCCCCACCCCCACCTCCCGCCCATCGTCAGGCATCTGAGGTGTTGGCTTTGAGTAACTGTGACTCCCGGAGAAATTCAGTTGAATGGCTCTGCTGTAAAGTCAAACAAACACATGCAGACTAAAAAATAAGCCTCAATCCAGGGGTGAACAAACATTTTCCCAGAGAGGGCCAAAATGAAAATCTATCCAAGGGCTGCGGGCCCAATGCATCATGAAATACAATACTTTATGAGTTAAGTCCTTTTATTTTTAATGATTAAGCTAGCAGCCAGTGTGGTGGCCCACATTTTTTGCTTGTTTGTTTGTTTGTTTGTTTGTTTGTTTTTTTAACCCATGCACTTGGAAAAAGTCTGCCATACGCTCGAGCAGCAAAGGCTCGTGGGACGTTTTGTAAATTGATCAAATGAGTTTTGTGGTCTTATAAAGTGTGCAAATCTACATGTGAGGTTAAATCTAATGTCAGTATCCCTTGTTGTTACTTGTTTTTTATGTTTCATGTTTAATCCTCAGGCAGCACGGTGGCTCAGTTGGTAGAGCTGATGCCTCTCAGCAAGAAGGTCACTGGTTCAAATCCCGGTCCGGGGACCTTTCTGGGTAGAGTTTGCATGTTCTCTCCGTGCATGCGTGGGTTCTCTCCGGGTACTCTGGCTTCCTCCCACAGACCAAAAACGTGACTGTTAGGTTAATTGATAACTCTAAATTGTCCCTAGGTGTGAGTGAGAGATTGAGTGGTTGTTTGTCTCGTTTGTCTCTATGTGTGGCCCTGTGATGGACTTGCGACCTGTCCAGGGTGTACCCCGCCCCTCGCACTGTGACTGCTGGATATGGGCACCAGTGACCCACGCAACCCTGAAAAGGAAGAAGCGTGTACAGAAAATGGATGGATGGATGGATGTTTAATCCTAATGTTTAAAAGATAAAATCAGAAAAATGAAAATGAAAATTATCTGCACTACGGTCCCTTATAGTCACTGGGACAATAGATGGAATGACTTAAAGTGGAAATACTGTATTTCTACATAGAACGACAGGTTACAACCTAGTAACCACTGCAACTGTTGGTGGACCAAATGAAATGGCTTGYCAGGCCAATTTTGGCCCGCAGGCCCCACTTTGGGCTCCTCTGTTTTAAACAGTTGTTGTACAAAACTTGAAGTCAWACCTTAAAYACTCTTGAACATAAGTGACAGAAGACTCCGATGGTCAGAAATGAGTTTTTGTTTTATTCAGGAGATACAACAAGTTGAATTAACTCTTTGCGTTAAAAAAAATGAAGAGAATATTTTGAGTGAAAATATCACAGAAATATTGACTGTGAACATTGGTTTTATTCTTGGGAGGGTTGAGAGAAAACTATTAGTCTTACAGCAGCAAGAGACGCATTGGTTGAACAAAAACAAAAAGTTCTACATTTTGATGTATAACCTGTAATAAAATGAGTTGGGGTTGTCAAATAATTTTTAACGGTCTTGAACATTTTCGATATTTCATTTATCTTTTTTTCTCATGCAGGTTCTGGGCAAAATTGTCTAAATTGTGCAACGAATGCTAACAAAACTCGTAGCACACTATTCAGAACAGAATAGTGAGGATGCCTCAGTGTAACTTGTCTCTGACAGAGACGACATTCAAGTTTGAATCTTTTATACAAAATGTTGATGTTTCTTCTACATTTAGTACCAGACTCCAGCAAAGTTAGTGCAAAAATCATGAAGAAGAATGAAATTTCGGAGCATGAGTGTTTCTCTCTGCTTGTCCGGTTGGCTGCAGCAGAGGGCAGTGTAGGTCTCTGCATTAATCAGCAGCTTCCCCCATATTTATGAATGTGATGCTCTAATGTCACATCTGACTCCGTGTCCGGAGTTAATTCCACAGCCATTATCTTCTTCGTCTTTCTGTCTCACGCTCTCACACACATACACAGACACACACACACACACACACGTGCACGTGTTAAACCGCGCAGAGCAGAAGGAAAATCTCAGCATCCCACGTCCTCTGAAGCCTCCCCTCTGCTGGCGGCGGCAGCGGCGTTCACAGGCATCAGTCACTTCCATGGCAACGCTGGCAGCAAACAACGCCAAAGAAACTTCAACAAGCCGGTAAACACGCTAATCAGACAAAATGTGTGTGCATTCAGATTACATTCTTTATCAATCTTTTATTGTTTTTTTTTTCACATGTACACATAAAGTCATATCGTACACGCACACATACACACGCGCACACACACACACACACACACACACACACACACACACACA